ATTCGATGTAATATTGTAAATAGTAATCTGCGATGTGTCTAGTTTTAGGGTGTTGTCTAAATATCCCATTCATCCGACCCATCATCTCCATCCAATTTCTCATTATACTACAATGCCATCATGTTTCAAATACGTATTTTTCTAATCTGCATATTGAACAGTGTATATTATTGCAAGGTGTATATATTCGGAAACGTACCATCGTAGATGCTTACTTATAATTATTATCAAATATTGTGTATATCATATCACTATAAAATGTTAAAACTTAATAAGGGACCCCAATTACAAAAATAACCCAATTTGTTTTCGCTCTGCTCACAATATCTACAATAAATAAAGGAACGCGTTAAAAAACAATTTTTGGTTTTAGATTAATTAGCACTGTAAACGTTTTTCGAATCTATTGAGCAGGGGAATATAATAAGTTAGAGGTTTTATATAATTTATAAGTAAGAATCAATCAAGGAGTTGTTATATTCCTGTCTTCATTAAGAAAGCGGAAAGTGTGAGTCCAAGAAAAACAGGTTCATTACGGAAAGACAGTATATTAGAGTGATACTAAACAAGATAAGCGTAAAATACCCATCGGGGGAGGTGTTATCTAAACAAAGACTTAACTCCGTGTACCGCCGGAGCAAGATAAGATACTGTCTGACTCCGGAGGCGATATTCCCATTCGTCATTGACCATTGTTGATCAAAGATTGCCCGTTTTAGTTGACTTTAACAGTCTTTTGTCAAGGTACTTACCTTTTTCAATGTTAAAGGTGATGCTATAATCACCTTATCGTTCCAATATTATTAGAATCAGTCCCGCCGGACTTGTCTCAATATGGCTAACATCAATCGCGCCCGTCGTAAACGTGTTCTGAATGTTTTGTCAATTGTTCTGGGGAGTCTTGCCTATCCAACAGGTGTAGAGCCTAACGATTATAGGTGTTAATGGGCTCGTGTTTATAATTCTATCAAGATTTATTGGTGTTCATGTATAAGTGTCGTATGTCTATAGTGTGATATCACTTTCTACTGATAACTAACTAATCATACGTACGTCTAAATAACCGGCAGTACTATTAGGGGAAACTGTAATCTGTTCGTCTATATAAATAACAGGTAATCCTAATAGGGAAAAGTAAATCGTACAAATTCGCTGTGACACATAAATACCGTTTATCTTCACATAAAACTTCATTTTAAATAACAGTAAGTTTAATTATGATTTATTAAATAAACAGTATGCGTAAACAATACAAAATTACATATTCTATATGATAGTAAGTTTCTGTTTTATTGCTCATTTTTACATACAAATAATAGCGACAGATTTATATTATCTGTATACTTGTTTCCGAATAATTTTTGCTAGTTTTTGTTTTTATTTTTCATTGTAAAAGAAAAGAAATCAAATACGATATTGTTTGAACTACTATTACGGCAGTGTATGATCATTTGATCAAACTGTTTTATTATTCTTTTTCTGTGCTATATAAGAATTGAAAGGACGGTAACCAAAATGTAACATAAACCAACAATTTTTCAGTTTCTTAAAAAATGCACATAGCAACGGGGAACTTAGTCGAGGTCCTTTGATTTATTCAAACATCATCTAAAAGCGATTAAAACTATAATTCGTACATGTTGTAGTAATGCAATATTTTCACGTTTTGATATCGTCAATTCTTTTGCAAAGTGATTTATTGTACAATATTAATTCATTTCTTTATGTCAGAGTCTGTATTATAAAAAATAACGTAAAATGTTTTTAAAATGATGTTTGTAATTAATGTGTTATTTTTCGTGGGTGCTATGATCCAGCCTATAAAGCGGGCTGACTACTATTCATCATCCACTCCTCTGAGTGTTTGCCAGTTCGGTCGTTTTAACCAATTATGTTTCAAGTACTAGCCGATAAGATTACAGTTCAAAGATAAGGCCAACGCAGCCAATAAATCAGCGAAAAGGTGTCCGGGCTTCAGGCAACCAAGACATTTCCAAAATCATGATAAGGTCTTGGATGCCACAAAATATTCTTAAAAGATTATTTGAGCCAGAGAAAGATGAAAACGTTAGGAGAGTAGAGCACTGACCTTGCATCTTGTGGGCTGTATTAGGAGAATTTCATCCATCGAATGCGACGAGAACTGACAGGAAAATTGGTGTATTTTAAAGCCATGATCCTCTTGAGAGAAATTGTTCACTTCGTCGATGATATTTCATTTCCTTATCTGTATTCTTGTCGGAACTATCAAAACTTCAGAAATCAAGCCAGGAATCTTCAAGATTTTCTTTCCATTTGTCAGGATTTTAAGACTCTATCTTTGAATATTCATTCAGAGCAGTTGAGCGATTTTACCAATTGCTAATCAAGTCAAAATAATGAAATCAACACCAAGAGGGAATACGTTAACATTTTGTTTATTTTTGAGCGCACTGCAAACAATTTGACTAATTGATATTCCCAGAATCAATGAAGACAGCGCGTGGTCGTCAAGGGGGTCCTCCATAGTCTGCATTCTGCACCTCACCTGACAACCAAGTGCTGTCATTAGTTTTATGGCCTCCCACAGGAGACAGATATCATAAAACGTGGCATATCAATAAAGGTGTAGAACTGTCAGTGTGAAGCCTGATATCTGCTATTGTATCAGAACCCTATACGTGTATAAATTACCTATAAATGTGTAAATATTGAAAGTCATGTAATGATAGGTCGGTAATTGTTTTAGATGATGACAATCAATCATCTCCCCAATTGGGTGACAAATGACCCTACATCACGCAGGAGATCGTTCACCTGTATCATATCATATAACATCAAACGATAGGACCTTCTATCCTTGTATAAGTAATTTATTAAATGTAATTTGGAGAAAAAAGGTATATACTGTTGTATTTTGTATATACTGCTGGATTGATAAAAGCTTAATTTAATTTCTTTGTTATCAACACTATTTCCTTCCATAGAATATACTGATAACATGGTGCTCTTATAAATTTATTTGATTGTGTTTTCTGTCTTAAGTTACATGCGGTCATTTAATAAATAAAATCCATAAAGGAAAAAACAGCAACAAAATATGTCTTGTTTTATATTCTTTATAATATATTTGTCATCAAATCAATCAGCCTCAGGGCTTATTACATTATTTAATTGGTAATCGACATCTTCATACATATTTAAATTCATTTATGAAACACTAGTGCATTAAAATAGAGCAAAATTATAACCATGGGTCCATCCTAGCCAATATTCAAGTAATTAAACGGTAATATATTTTAGTCGATTGCAGCAAGATTTGTTTACAAATGAATAATACATTATATAAGACCCAGACATAACTTTATATAAATATTTTAGAACATCCACTTTATATTACAATACTAGTAATTGTAATGTCATTAACTTTACAGACGGAGTTAACGCGTGTGTAAGAGTTAAGAGTAGTTGATTAAATGCTGGTAAGTAGGTGTTCTGACGTTTACTTCAGATGCGTTAGGGTGATTAGCACATCTACCCTAACTAAACAAAGTAAATTGCACATTTCTGCCTATTCGTAATGAACAAATTGTTTACCATGTCTATACACTTTGCAGGATATTTCAACATTTATATATTATAATTTAGATAATAAATGAGAAAGGAGAGTTTAAAATACCGTATTCCTTACTGAAACTATTCTGTGTGTTAGATGGAATCATCCCCCGATTAAAATTTATTATAAACTGAAGCATGCATTTTGAAAATTATACCATACTCATTTAATTAATAGTATACCCTACTATCATTTTTCATCTAATATAATGCGTGTAGATATTATTTTTGTCGCATTAGATAATTCATCCCTTTTGAATTTCTAACATTAAATTTAGTGTTAAGTGTTACAAAACAAGCAACTACGCTTACATACTAATCTGTTTCATTCACAAGGTTATGTAAAATTAATTGAAAAATATATAAAATATATTGTGTCTTTAAATGTGCCGAATTAATCAAAAATACAATTAGGATAGAAAAGAAACACTTTGCATGTGGTAAATATCATGGTACTGATCCAGTCACATAACACATTTTAGTTAGATTTATCTAACCACGTTTTACACGAACAAATAACCAATGATACCCTAGTGGTACTTAGTAATGTGTTGAGGAGACCTAGTTCCACATGCATCTGGAAATACCACATGCGTAACAAATGGCACCAGTCTACAGTGATTGATCTCCTTACCGTTTCTCCACAAAATGTCAAGCAAAGTTGATGAAGTTCTATTATATATAAATACCTTGCAATGGAATATCATCGCCCCTAAATCACTACAAGGAAAGCGTATTCATTCTAAGGAATTTTTTGTCCTGTGATATTCATTGCAATGAAATATATTTATTCAATTTACCTTCTTTTTAAAGACAACTAACAAACATTTTAAACGTGTTAGAATGTTTAAGTTAAAAATGTATTTTTGTAGTTTTTATTATTTCAAAAAATATGATATTGTTCATTTGGGTTCTTCTTATTAACTATTGTTGTTTATTACATTAATTAGTAAACAGGTTTTATTTGTAACAATACTAACAAAATGATAACAAACGCTTTAAAATAATTTATTACATATCATATTTTTCAAAATCATAATGTATTGCAGAAAACGAAATATTATAGAAAATATTTTACGTACAGTTTGACTCCGGATTCTTTAACGGAACACATATTTCCCGTTCTGTGCGAGTCTGCTAACTTCACACATAAACAAAACACCGGTTTATCGTCCCCCGAAGACATAGAAGTGTGTCTTTTCTATGATAAAATTAATAAAGATCGTTTCATCTTGCCGACCCTAGCTACCGTGTTCTAATCGTAGGAAAGTTTCCATACGTAGCCGTCAACATTCACAATGTTAACAATTAAAAGTCGTTACACGCGAGACGGACCAATCATAATAGGTTTAAGTGTAAAGTATATGAGATAATAGATAAAACACTCTCCGTATCGCTCATTGCTCCAGGCGGCTTAGGACCCGTGCCCACGGCCGCTCGTCTAGTGTGATCCATGACAGCTCAGATATAAACGGCTTTCTGATTGGTCGCCTATTATCACGTGCCATGTTGATATAGAAAATGGGGTGGTCTGGTTTGCCTAGAGTATGTGAAGTAAACGAGCAGAAATTATTTACAACCAAATCACCGAAAATTAATGATCATGAGTTCGTTTTTGATGAACCCGGGACCGTACACAGAGCCTAAGTTTCCACCGACGGACGAGTATTCACAGTCAAACTATATTCCTCCACATAGCTCGGAATATTATCGTCAGAGTTATCAACCACAAATACCTAACTATGGTTATGATCCTATACCGGACACTAGGCGATACAGCGAGGACAAGTATACTCCGAACCACTATAATGGGTGTGGAAGTAGTGATTCCGTGTCCCCCACCCATCCCTCATCTCCCGCGCCAGCTCATTCGGGAGGGGGACCCGGAGGTGGTATTCTGAGTGGATTCAATCAGCCAGCAGCACCTTCTCCAAGTCCCCCCGCTGTTCCGTCACCTGACGAACAACCTTCCAAAATGTCACAAAGTAGTTCTTGTGTAGAACAAGATTCTGACGGACAGCCAGTGATTTACCCATGGATGCGAAAAAGCCAAGGAAACAACCCTTCAGGTAAGTCAATGGCATAACTTATAGCTTTCTAATTAAATCGTTAAAACGCCTTGTATATAAAACTCATGCCTTCGTGTCAGCGCCGTCAATGATATACAGCTGTCGCAATCATCTCGTATTCTAGATTCTCAGCGGGATTTCAGAAGTGTGGTAAAACCTAAGCCTCGTACATCTAACAGAGTATACACTTAAAACGATCATTGCAATATAAAAACCAACCCGGATATAATAGACTGAAACTTATTCATTAACGCGACGCCATTATCAAGAGTAATCATTAGTACTGTGGGTGTAGATCATGTTTCATCGGGATGATAAAGGTATCGAACGCGTCAAATAAGATTTAAAAGCGTAACCAATATCTGTTCAGTGTAAGGAATTAATAACACATATCCCGCAATAAATTGTAACGATTATAAGAAAACAATTAACCTCAACACTGAAACCCGTCAGTAGCGTCAGGTATCTTTCCTGTGAAGGTTATCATGTAATTTAATCAGAAATGATTAAAATAGTCAATGGGTCACAAGGACGCATGTCATCAATATTTCGGTAACATATTATCTAATTTTTGTACATGAACGAGAACCTAAATAAAAAACACTCCTTCAAACCGCGGTCTAAAAGGATACCATGCAAAGGTAAAAACATCGCTCTACATTTATACACAACACTGTTCATATATCTGTATGTGTATCTGAGAGTTTAATATTATACACATAATTATAGGCTTTAATGTAAACCATGCGACCGATATGCACACTTTTCTTACAAATTTGCATTTCGTTTTGACCCTGTTATTCAATTCAATTTAAATATATGTTTAACAAATTTTGAGAAACCCCAAAGTTCACTTAATGAATTTAAAAGCTAGATAATTATATGATTAAATATATAACACTTCTTATTTGAAGATTGATAATGTTTTGCCCTCTCATGTTGTTATCTAGTTCTTGAAATCGAAACCTTAAATGATGTTTTAATTTAATAACCCTTCATTTGGAACTTCTTATACATAAACATAAGAATCAAATATGGTGTGGGAGATATTCAATCATTACCTGTGGATTTGGTGTTAACGATGAGAGGTTTTATGTGTATCAAACAGCTTTAAAGGCCTTAGACACGTGTAAGACCCATACATCAGATTGTAATGGGACAATAATGGTAACAGATAACCCATAAAGTTTAATTATAGCTATAGAGCCTCACCTAGGTGCACGCCCCTTATGCCCCGGACCGGCGCACGTTAGCAGATCAGGGCTGGCACAATATGGGGATTATTATCAAGGGGTTCCTAAGAAACAATGCAACACTGTTTGTTATACAATATTAACCCTGTGAGTCCGTTGATACAGGCTTTCATTATAAATGTTCATAACATCTCAATAGAAATTGGTATACATGTCTGCAAAGAAATATCCATGAATCTCATTTTCGTACATGAATGTGTAACTTTTGAAAATAACAAACAAGGTTTACTAAATTAACGTTTGACATAACAATCCTTTATTCTCTGCATTTGGATATCACACACAAACAAAATAACTACGACTAAATTAGTTATATAAAATAAAATTTCTTTTATACAATACTAATGTTTTAACCCTCATGTATTTTGTTTATCTGAAACAATTATTTGTATTATTCAAACGATTGGGTTCATAAAAGTCATGTAGGATTTAATTTAAATTAATATCAAATTAAAAACCAAATTAAAGTGTTTAACAAAAAAATGAAATTGTTTTCATGCTGTAAAACAATCTTTAAATTTGTTCACTCCAGAGATAATATAAATCAAGTAAATAAAGATAAACAAGGACTATTTTATTGACTAGATACGTATTTTGTTGATAGTTTTGCTAGTGCAGTGCTCGTAAATCACAAACTCATTTCAAAATCAAAACATTTTTTTGGTGTTTGTTGTTCGTATTCGAATCCATTACAGAAAAGAATGTATGTCAAGATTATATAACACGGCTGGATCAAATTTACCAGATTAATATATAAGATATGCCGACTAAATAAGCATACTAGATATTCATATTAAAAGGAAAACCATATCAACTTACAATAGTTTACCTTTGTACGCATGGATCAATATGATCATAGTAAGGGTTTGGATATAACCGACATACATTCAATGTTTGAGTGCTGTCACTTTTGGGGGAAATAACATCAATATTTAAAATACAATTAACGTGAGTTACCGACATAAAACTAGGCATTTGGTCATTGGTGAAAGTGCTTTGAATAATTCAACATTTTGTATCTGTATAAAATAATATCAGCTGGTTTAAAAACTAAAACGTCATGAATTATTGAAGTTATACATACAAAATGTTATTTTAAAGGGATCAGTAATGTTATATCTGAAACATGATCAGTAGGGTATCATAATGGATATCTGTTTATTAAAACAGTAAATCAAAATATGTTTTAGAGACCTTATGAATGTCATGTGATAAACTGATACTGTTAACATGAGAGTTTGATAGTGTCATGCGTCAATACCTCACAAAACAGACATTTATAACAGATTTATAACACACTGTATCTAGACCGTTGTCCGAACAAATATAACCCCAGGCTGCGTATAGCTAGTTACATACTTGAGCAATAATATGTAACACGCTTACTTCAGGATAACGGTAAAATTGACATATACACTCACTTTTATTGCTCCTTAATTGCTATAGTATATTGATATAGCTATACATATATAAAAAACAATATAATCATATATAAATGGGCTGAACTGACCGGACACAATTTAATTATCAGTTTAAAATGAGTAATTTAACAAAAAGCAGAACATGAAAAAATAAATAGTAATAATTACTGCTATTAAGATAATTTAGAAAGATTTGCTAACAGTAGATGATAATATTGTATGCATATATCGTTTAAGAAACCTACCGTTCTGAAAGTGTTGACATGTACTTGAAAGAAACAGACCTATCTGTTTTATAACTTTGTGTATCATTCCCCGCGTGTTTTGACCTATATTGTACACTATCACTCTTAGAATGGTTTGTAAAGTACGACTATTGCTGTCTATGTGTGTAAGATTCACTTACGGACATATTTTGTTTATGTATGTAAGATGTCAAGAATAGAGAAGGAACACTTGGTGGTCACATAAACCATGTCACTCGGGTAACCTCTTGCTGTAACATTAATAGTATATGGTCGTGTCAAATGAGTACCGAAGGAGTGCCTCTTCAGAACATGCCATGCGTTTTTTGTTATTTACATGTCGGTGATAGAATACACTCAAGGGATATGGTGGCATGTTTTACATCGCCACATCATACTATTCTTAGTGTTATGGGCAAATAATTTCTACTTACTAACTCGGCCGTTTGTCATATTACATTTATCACAACATATATTGCTTTATGCCTAGCTCTATGTTGATACACATTCCACGATTTAGATATTCATGATGATGAAATAATTCAAAGTTGCCAAATGCCCATGTTATATTCATCAGTAAATAGAATAAATATATAATAAATTTGATAAAATATTCTCAGAAAATTAGTAATTTGATACACAAAATATGTCAAATGGCAGTGGTGAAAATACATTATTCATCCCGGCGGTGCTCGTATTAAGTTCTGTGAAATAAATGTCCGTGATCATACTAAGAAATACAACGAACATTTAAGACAAATTGTACTCATGTCAATCAAGACATATGAAATGTTCCACCTGTTATGGGGTGAAGAATACACTACACACAGTGAATGTAAGAACAGTCGTACACATCAACATTCCATCAAATGATATGTTAAAACCTGCTTTGATTTATGAACATTAGAACCCTATACAAAGATTACGTAAGACAGTCACCAATATATAGCAAGACACTTTAAACGTATTTCAAATTTGATTCAATGTTTTAATTTAAATAAGATACTTGCTGAGTATTTAATTTGAATTAATCTCTTAATTTGTTAAATATCAACGATGATATATTTGTTTCATTTCGATTCATGATGCGGTGTTTCAGTCTTAAATGTAGGAAGACATCGCGATCTATCAAATTATTTAAGTGTTGGGTTCAACAAACACGTAAAAGTTATTCCGTTTAAATGATCTCATCCGTATGGACATTATTCAATTAGATAGTTCATCAACATTAACCGAAATCACAGTAAGCATGTTCCGACCTTCTTTTCTATTAGAGAGCTCGCCTCATTGTACGCTTAGTCTATTAGAGACATCGTCTAAAACATCGTACATTTATTCTATTAGAGAACAACCCATATTTCATTAGCGGATGACACGAATGATATGAATAACCAATTAGTGATGTCATCTGTATCTCTCCAGCCGCAGCATCTCTTCGTGTCAGCAAAAGCACGCTGCATTAGCCCCTGTCCTAACACCGTTCTAATGGCCCGTTTTACACTGATACTGTCGGACGCTACAAAACACAACAAATCTCGATTTAACACGATTACATAAAATCAATGTACAATGGCAGGTCTGAATTATTTAAATACACAACGAAATGCAAATATGACTGTTGATGTTTGCTTCCATGCGAATTGATTTGATTTTATAGTAAATGCTTTTTTTTGCATTTTAGTTGATTAATATATTTTTTTATGATAAATTGGTTGTGATTTAATATAAATACATTCCACTTGGAATTTATAAAGAGTATTGTTCTACTGATTAAACAAGAGGAGTATTTTATAATAACAAGTTTTCACTTTATTACTTAATGCGATTATTGGGTTTTTGTTAACATAAAGTATAGAACATGCATGAACATTTTTATTATGTATTTCAAATCACTTGAATACACTATTCTGATGATGTTGTTAGCCTTAATTGCACAACATATTTATCTATTTATTTTTATTTAAATTTTCAGGCAATAACAACATTATATCAGAATCCAAACGAAACAGAACAGCTTACACTCGACACCAGATCCTTGAGTTGGAGAAAGAATTCCACTTCAATAGGTACCTCACGAGAAGACGTCGTATAGAAATAGCACATACATTATGTTTATCAGAAAGACAAATAAAAATCTGGTTTCAAAACCGAAGAATGAAATGGAAGAAAGAACATAAATTGCCAAACACAAAAACACGGCTAATGGATGCCACGAACTCGCCTCTCGAACCATCGCACCACCATTTTGTTCACAGCATGGCGGCACTTGCAGAGCTAACACCAATCTAGTCAAAGTCTAGTTTTATGTCAGTTATCTTCCGGTTTTTGTGACAAGAACTTCGGACATTGTGACCATTCCTTTGCTGACAGTCTTGTGATAGAAACTGGATGTAACAACCAAAATACCAAAGATTTGTTAATGTGCAACTTGACGAAAACCTCGGGGTATATTGTGTGTGCGAATTGTGAAAACGGAGATGTGTAAATAGTGTATATGTGCATAATAATTTATGAATGAGTCTGAACTGTACTATACCCTAATGTACATTGTAGTTTATAAGTGTTAAAACAGTATTTGAGATAAAAGCGAATTCCCTGTGTTATCTACAAACTTACAATTTACATGAACAACTTTCTACTTTTAGTAAAAAAAATAGTGAAATGACAGAGTTGTGTAGTTTTGTAATGTACAAAATCCACATTGTACTGGTCATTATGTGTTCTACAATTCTTTTTTATTTCCACATTTTATATTCATTTAGATATTTTATAAAATGATGTACGCACTTTGTCGTGTTAAGTTGTTCAGTGTCATTTCAAACAAGTTATTTCCTCTTAGAATATAATCCTCTTTGTTGACGTTCATATTTGTTTCCCCCTATTATTAAATCCAATGTAAACGTTAGCAAACTATTCACCAACAAATGCATTTATCCTGCTGTGATACTTTCAACAAATTTAAAACAAACACTTACCTGTAGAGCAAATAATCTTTACAGGTTTAATCATACCAAATGAAAAACGACAAAATTCTTCAGTAGAATTTCAAAACTGAATACACTTTACGCTTCTGTAATAATGTTTTATGCATCTGGAGCTCCTAAATCAATGCCAAAGCCTGGCGATGTGAATATATCTTATATGTGAAGACTATCACTCTATTCCCCCCCAATGCTTTGCAGGGGGCATTGTATTTAGTTTATATACTATGAAGTATATTGAATATAATTGCTAGTTATTAAGATAATTTAGGGTAAGCCAATATCAGGTTTTAGGTTACCTGCAATACTCATAAATAAAGATACTCAAGAAAAACCAACAAAAATATCACGTAAAAAAATTGACAAGCACTTTTTAATTTCAATGTAAAATAACAGTTGTTACCCTAACAAATGATATTATATAACAACGACTTAAAATAAATGTTCCATTCCAATGGAAAATGTCCTTACTTTTATGTATAGGTATATATCAAAATATTGATATCAACGTTATCCAGATAGCCATTTCATCTTTAACATTATTTTACAACTAAACTTATCTATAAAAATGTGTGTATGCTATTGTTTTCTTATATTGTTTTCGCTTATGCCGGTTTATTCAATAACGATTTTTTTCCATTCTCGTAAGGATTCAAATTTCTGTTATTTATTACTTAAACTGTTTGTACAAAAATAGGAAAGAAATTAAAAATTAGATAAACTGTATAACATTTCAAGATGTTAATGTCAAGAAGATCAGTGTAAAATAATATATGGCATAACATTGAAATTAATTTGATATAAGAATATATTATAAACAGCAGATAGCTGATGCACCTGCACTTATTACCAGTAATATATGTATAGAAATGTAATAAAAGTCAAAGAGTGGACACAAACTCGTACATGTGTGGACATCTCTCTATAGACAGAAATCATACTGAGTGCTAACATTTAACGTGCAGTTTCAATATGATATCAAAAGTAAAGGTGCACAACTAAGTGTCTTGGAAAATATGTTAAAATATTTTAGCAATACTAAATAACTCGGTGTTGTATAGTTTTAGAAAGTAAAACTGTTACATAGATTGGATATTATGAATGAAGATTTTCTTTTTGCAATGAGTAGCATATATTTGACAGAAATTACCGAACACATTTTTACTATCTGAATACACCATCATCAGTTATGATTAATCCTGCCATTTTAAGATTTATACATGAAAATTATTTTGAAAGATGATAAATATTTATATAACCAGATCAACTGGTAGATTAAAAGGTTCCGGACGTGGCCATAAATATGTTATTTTGAAATAATCGCAAAATGACATTTATACGTCAGCGACGTTATTGTAGGAAATGTATGAAAGATATTTTAGACACTAGACGACCAAGGGTAAACTGTATTCTTGGCGCTCCAGATACTAGTTTAATTCTAAGATGTTTTGAGTTGATTTAGGAGTACTATTCATGTCGTTTTGTTGCTTGTTTTCTGTTCCCCTTACGAGCCAAGTTGATACCTCAAACCTTCATTGTCGATTTTGTCTTTTCCGGTTCTCGTTAGGTTTATATTACTTGTTTTCACTTCTATAAATCCCCTACTGTGAATAAAAAGTGTATTTCGAAGTAATTCCGATTTTGGATTTATTTCTCTATTTAATTGCGCTTGTGATGGATGTGTTGTATGATCTGGCCTGGCACACATGTCGGATGTCATACAGGAAAATGTACCAGCGTGTTACAAGTCTATCTCCAGTGGAAACTTGAGAAAAGAAAAATGTCTTAAATAGCTTGGTATTTAGTATCAGCGGTCTGCAAGCTTGCTATTGCCAAGCAAATGTGATTGTTCTACGAGACCTTTTTCCAGGTAGACAAACGAAGCAATCAGGATTGTTATGAGTATATAAAAATCTTAATTACAGTAAAACCATAATATTGACCTGTTATATGCAAAATCGTAAGCTATTCTGATAACTGAATGTGTTAAGCTGATCGTTATGGAAATCTTCCTGCCTTCAACACTTTGTATGTTATATAGCATTGCACAGACTCAGAGGTGCCTTTAAAATAACTTTTGAAAGAGTACGTCTGAAACTAAATGCCATGAATTGAAAGAATATCACAGTTGAATGTTCGGCAAGTCAACGCTAGCCGATGGTGTCAGATATCTGGGACTCCGGTGAACGCTTGTTATAAATACTTTACTGTTTGTTTTTATATAAACGACATTTGCATCAAACTCTTACAATGCGATTTCCTCACAATTAGTTTTTAAACACAGTATTAATACAATCCTTGAAAATGTTAACTTAATATTTTAAATGCCAACAGCGGATTAATTTGCAATGTGCTGTTCACAAAATATCCAAGTTCCATGTTCTATAAAACAAGGTTACAGGAACGACATTTAAGTGTTTTAACGCTTGGTATCTAGTTGGTTGAGTTTCAACACATCAGTTGTCTTTAAATATCAAATCGAACAACTACAAATGACATCTTTAGGCTATGCAAAATATAACTTTCATGGATATGTTCCTTATATTCCATCAACAAAGCTGTAATTATCCATTGCACCGATCAATGTAACAAAGTAAAATCCTTATAAATACTCTTAACATTTTTTATCCGGCAGTCAGTATCATTGTTATTGATGAATTCAGCTATAAAAAGATAATATTAAACCTTTATGTTATAGATTGTTATATTGAAACAAAGTACGTTTGTATTATCATTATTGTCGGCGGAACTTATAGTATTATCATAACACCCGTATAAAAACAGAACTGTCACTAATACGGACGAACAAACCTACCAATTGTACTATAAATAAGTACAAAAAAATAAACAATATATCAGACTTAACAAGGAATATTTCACTTGTGCTTGCCCGAACTGATGACACACACTTAGATGTGAGATGATGTTTTTCATAACATGAATTTAAACAACTAGTTGTATATATCCTCCATGGTTTAAATATTCTATCACATATACTATCCCCATCCTTTATGATCGAATCGCTACACAAGTATTGCCTTGTCTTGTTGACAACAAACTACTTAATAGTTTAATTTACAGTCAAAACTCGTGTCATCGTTACATGACTCTAAATTATGATATTTCAGTGTCTATATTGATTACTGAAAGGTTTATTGTATTCTAGATCATTCAACATGTGCATGGAAGCCTGACCTGCCTGCATTCCAGTGTCTGTTGATGATTTCATTCACTTTAATATTTTGTCCCCGTTCGCTTTTTCTATTCTAGTTTAGGTCCGCTATTTATTTTTCTGTTAAGTACATGTCAATATACAGCAATACATATCATGGTAAGTTAAATAATGTTTTGAAAAAAATAATGTACAAAATAGGATACTTTACAAATTTTCCTAGAAAATACTTCTTTTGGTCTGATAAAAAACAGGTATTAGTCTTTGAAATAGTTTTGTATCATTATTTTCTATTGTTGTAGGTAACACTTGCCGTGCAGTTATTGTGATGAAACGATGTCAAACAAAAACACAATAACTTTCTCTAAATCAGCAATCTGTACTTAAATTAAATTAAATATTTGTTTCAATTTTAAATTAGGATTAATTTTCAGACATAATTCTGAATAACACTTTTTCTGTATAAAGTTATTTTGATAATCGAAATCAATCGAAAAATAATGTTAACATATAAACAGGGAACTTTATATTCCCCTGTTGATGAGATGGCGTCCGTAACGCCATGGCACGTTCGACTACTTTATAACAATGACCTGACGAATTAAAGCAAAATCATTTGAGGATGTGTATGATTGAAAAGACAACAATAATCATTGTTTTCGCAAATTAATACAACGCTTAGTTTAATGTAAAAACCGCAATGACGTCACCCATGACAGATTTGAATATTTGTGCTGGTGTTAGGACACTCATATAAATGAAATATTGTTCTGCATCCCAAACTAACATTTCTGAAGATTTGAGCCCAAAATGACAGTTTTAAGCCAGGATACGATTTATTTCAGTTTGGGGTTCAAAGTTCAGATCCAATGGTCAAGGTTGCCCTACATTTACGGTAGTGGAGTTCGTAATCTGTTGTCCAAACCATCATTTCATAAAACTTTCTTATTTAGACATGTTTATCACCATCACATATTCTTGATTTTGTCTTCATGACACAAGTGCCACGTGCTTCCGGACTTGTGCTGGATAGGTACGTCTCCGACTCTGAATTATAGAATCGCCCCGGGCACTTAGTGATGACCGACATATAAACTTGTCAACACACTAACTACTGTCACCAGACTGCGAATCCGCGGAACCACAGGCTCATCATAAACAATGACGTGTTGTCAAAATTGGAAGAAAATGTTTTTTTTTTATGTTTGTACACAAACTGGTATCAATTTATTGTAGTGTTATTCTGAACTTTTTTTCCACAAAATTACATTTTCAAAGCTTTGTAAATGCGAACTTTAATAATTAAAAATATAAATAAATTGTCGTTTACTCTGAATTACTTGATTTTCTTAGGCATTTTAACTTACATCTTTGACAACATAATATGCATACATTTATTTTGAGTTACATGGATATCACGTTCCTTAAGCTTTAAGGATAGCATTCCGGCACATTTTACAGTGTTATCAAATAATGCTACCTATAGTCATCGTATGACAAAGTATAATTCGAAACTCTTCCATATGTGACCCTGAGACTATACCTTTATGACAATTTTTCCCGCCACCATGTGACATGTTTATGGAACACTGGAGGCAAGAAAGCCAAAAACAAATATGCTGAACGACCTTACTGTCTATTTAATTATACCAATATAATTATGTAGAGCTTTCGAGGGAAATCCATGGCTAATTATTGAAACATATTCAATATTCTACGCTTTGTTATTCATGTTTTAATTTACAAACAAGTGACGTGATTTTTTTCTGTTTTCATATTTTAATGCCTATTATAAAAAAATACTTTATTATTCATAAATTTCACAACTCTTGCATATTATAAAAGGCTTAACTGATGTGTCCTTGCCTCTATGCAAAGTACTTATTATCATCGTAAACACCTGCTTTATTTACCAATGTATTTCCCTACTCCTCATCGAAGGATTCTTTTCGAGAATTTAAAATCTTTGCGTAAATTGTTCGTGCTATTTCTTTTATCTTATATTCAAATTAAATAAGAACAAATATAAATAAAATTAAGCAACAAACAAATGATATTTTTTTATCGAAACTGAGAAACTTAAATATTTCGTCCTTTTAATGGCCCCATTAATATCAAAAAACTTTTTTGCGTATAAATCCTAAGCTTTCTTTTGACGTGGGAACATGATGGCAACACTGCGGATGTGTTTGTAAATATAAAATCATTATGTAAGCTCGTGCATATTTTCTTTACTGACCTAGTAAAATCTGAAATAAGTAAAAGAATCCATAGCATGTTCAGAGTGTCTTTATCTGGGGCACGTCGATTTCAGTTAAACTTAGCTGGCAAAACCAAATAAAGAAATGTTCATGATTTATTAATATTTTTTTAAAGGCATTTATTTACACAAAAAAAAACCACATGAAAAAGTGACCATCTTAAGTAAAAGTAAGCGAAAGTATATCCGACGTTTGTACATCAATCTGTAATTTGTTAAGGGTCATTTCATAACCATTTAGAACCATTTGAAGGTTGCTTTCATCCACAAGAACACGATTAAATGTAATACCACATATACTCAATATATTTTAATATGGATTATTCAATAACAAACTAAACATTCGTGAAAGAAGATACTGTATACACTAATAAAGATATCCACTCCGCATTACCAATGGCAATGAATTAACCTAAACACTATGTATCAAGTTAGACTGATATACTGCTGCTTAAATATATCATTAAAGCTTTTGTCTGTGTTCTTTAAAGTTTTTGCAATGTTTTACTTGCAAAAAGATCTACAATGTCAGAATCGTCAAGGTTTTTATTTTAGGGCAATTCTATTCGTGTGGGTAGCGCATTCGCTTTTTATCGAGATGACCGGGGTTCGAATCCCCGACAGGAAGTGAAAAAGTATGGAACCTACTACCCCACCACATGGGTTTGCTCTGGGGACTATAGTTTCCCCCTTCATTAAGACCTCGTGCGCGCTATCATCCATGCCAACAAAGACGATTAATATACTTTGATAGAACTTGTTTCACAATTGTTGTAAAATAAACAAAGTTTGAATATAATAGGTTAGTAATGCTATTCGAAAACTAAATGATTGCTCTGACATGCCAATATAGTAGTAACTCGTTAATATTCTTCAACATTATCTTGATCCCGACCGCATTATGGCTACCTGTTGGTGTACCTGTGACTACTCCTTCATGCATCACCACACCAACTTGATCCCGACCACATTCTGGCTACTTATTAATGCGCCACCACATTATATCGATATCGACCATAGTATGCCCTATTGGCCTGGGTGTGCAACTATACTACCTGGTGCAATCCCACTACATTGATTCCGTCCCACATTGTGGTGAAACGTTGGTTCGACACCATGCTATCTCGATTTCGCCCATAGTATGTTGGTTGACATGAACACTTTTGTATATTACGATAACTTCTTTCCGTTCATG